TTTTTGGTCCATTTCATCCCCTAAATATTAACCGATCTTTTCAAAATACAATAGGGGTCTTCATTGGCCAGAACCCATCCTACATGCAAAATTTTGTGAAGATGGGTCCATAACTGTGGCCTGTATCGTGTTTACAAATTATAATGGACAGACGGACGGACACACATGTCTAGATCGATTCAGCTGGTCGAGATATGACGATCGGTATACTTAAAGGTGGTCTAGGACTAATATTTCGCGGCGTTACAAACTTTTGGGGCTGCACAAAGCTATAATACCCTGACAACATTGTTGTGTAGGGTATAAAAATAGTTAATGGGACTACACGTTCACGGTTTTAAAAAATTTAATTTTGTATTTCATTTAATTCGACCTACACTAAATGAAGAATGTCCCTATAAAATGTTAAGTGAAAATCTCAACAACTTTTGAAGATATATCCGATTTATTGTGTTAGCGAAACAGTGTTTATACGAAGGGTGGGCACGAAAACCCAAATACTAATAACTCTATCGGTTCCAAATTCTGTATAATGTAATCGGTAAATACACTGAGGGGAAAAACACTTCGCGAAATTAACACCATTCGTTGTGGATTTTTCATCATGCGTTGTCACATTGGTTTTGACAACAATTGTTGTTAATTTGTTAACAGGGGTTTACAATTCGTAGTATTTGACCAGAAAACGTTGTCATGTTTAAGAATGTGACCACGGATGTTTTCATATTTCAGAATATGACAACGAACTTGTATTCATATGTGTTCGAATCAGCAACAACACGTATTAATCAAAGAAATTAAGAATGTGACCACGGATGTTTTCATATTTCAGAATATGACAACGAACTTGTATTCATATGTGTTCGAATCAGCAACAACACGTATTAATCAAATTAATTTTATTCATTGTTATCGAGTTTCTGAAAGTGAATAGAAACATTGTACAAAAAAGAATTAAAAAAATACATAGAAATATAAGTTCCAAGGGCAAATGAAACCAGTGAGCGGAGCAGTATAGTCGGACGGGGCCGACCATACGATACCCTACACAACTTCCATGAAAATGTAACTTTCTGTGGTTCTATATTCTGAGATTGGGCAATATTTCGCGATATTTGCACACTTTTGACTAGCTTGAGGTCAGCAAATGTTACTAATAATCAGTACAGCACCTCTAATTACTTGTCCAGATTCCCTTCACCGTGGGTTGTGTTGTGATGTTTGGCTTTCGACTCGAAAAGTACAAATAATTAAGTTTTCGGTCCACAACATTTTAGGCGTTGTCCTTTACCATAACTGGAACCTCATCCGCCCTCCAGTGTGGTAATAGGTTACTAAATAATATATGAATACGTAAGCACCTGTAAATATTTAAGTGTAACTCCCGCATCCGAGTACCTACGACAATATAATTGGTATCAATTTAAAGGTCAACCACTCCTCTTGAATATACTATCAACTTCTTGGGTCTATGTCCTTCAGTGGTAAATATATACGCTATAGAATACAAATTTTGTCATTTCTCACACAAAAGTTAGGGTCCATTTGACCCGCCAAATATTGAGCGATCTTTATCAAAACAGGCATGCTTATTCTTTGGTCCGATCCCCTTCTTCATGCAAATATTCGCGATGTTTGGGCCATAATTGCGGCCTCTGGAGCGACCAGAAAAACCGACAAAAATAAAGTTTTTGGTCCATTTCATCCCCTAAATATTAACCGATCCTTTCCAAAAACAATAGGGGTCTTCATTGGCCAGAACCCATCCTACATGCAAAATTTCGTGAAGGAACCGTCCATAACTGTGGCCTGTATCGTGTTTACAAATTATAATGGACAGACGGACGGACGGACACACATGTCTAGATCGACTCAGCTAGTCGAGATATGACGATTGGTATGCATAAAGGTGGGTCTAGGACCAATATTTCGCGGCGTTACAAACTTTTGGGGCTGCACAAAGCTATAATACCCTGACAACATAGTTGTGTAGGGTATAAAAATTGGCGTGTTTGCGGAAATCGACGGTGATATTATGCTGGTCAGTAATACATGCATTTCATGTGTTTGTTTATAGATAAATGTAAGTAAATTAGATTCAGAACGAATTCAAATATATTGTATTTATTGTTTTTGCCAATCTTTTAGTGGCACAGGAAGACAATACCACCATTAGGAATGAGTGTGGTGTTCAGGGAAAATATCTTTGCTTAAAAAACGGAGGTATTATATTTGTATTGTTATGAAATGTATTAATATATTTATGGCTTTGAACCGACGCTGAAACAATTCAATGCTATCTAAAAAAGATGGTTGGTGGATACGCAATGAGACAACTAACAACACATCAGGTTTAAATTGTTCCAAGGTCGAAGGAATTCTCTAAAGGTACAATCTAGTTGTTATGTAGAACCATAGATTCAAAAAAAAAAAAAAAAAAATTTAAATTTTACTTATTTCATTTAAGAAAACATATCTGAAATAAATAAAATAAATAAAAATCAGTGAGCGGAGCAGTATAGTCGGACGGGGCCGACCATTTAATACCCTACACAACTAACACAAAAATCTAAATTTCTGCGGTGTAGTTCTGAGCTCTTGACCGACTAGAGGTCAACAAATATTACAAGTATACAGTACAACTCTTCTAATTACTTGTCCATATTCACTTCACCGTTGATCGCCGTTGTGAAGTTCGGCTTTCAATTGTGGCCTATAGATCGACTCGAAAAATCACAAACAATTAAGTTTTCGGTCCACTTCATCCCAATATTATTATCTGATCATCACCAAAAATTATAGGCGTTGTCCTTGACCATAACTGGATCCTCGTGGAAAACTTCAAAGCGATAAGCGCTATATTTCCGCACTCTAGTGTGGTAATGGGTTACTAAATAATATATGAATACGTAAGCACCTATAAATATTTACGTGTAACTCCCACATCCGAGTACATACGACAATATAATTGGTGTCAATTTAAAGGTCAACTACTCCTCTTCTCGGGTCTATGTCCTTCAGGAGCAAGTATATACGCTCCAGAATAAAAATTTCGTATTTTTTCACACAAAAGTCTGGGTCCATCACCTTTTCCGATCCCCTTTTCCGTGTAAAAATTCGCGATGTTTGGGTCATAATTGCGGCCTCTGGAGCGACCAGAAAAACCGACAAAAATTAAGTATTTGGTCCATTCATCCCCTAAATATTAACCGATCTTTACCACAAACAATAGAGGCCTTCATTGAGCAGAACCCATCCTACATGCAAAATTTCGTGAAGATTGGTCCATAACGGTGGCCTGTATCGTGTTTACAAATTATAATGGACAGACGGACGGACACACATGTCTAGATCGACTCAGCTAGTCGAGATATGACGATCGGTATACTTAAAGGTGGGTCTAGGACCAATATTTCGCGGCGTTACAAACTTTTGGGGCTACACAAAGCTATAATACCCTGACAACATAGTTGTGTAGGGTATAATAAATATATCTAAATAAATATTGGCATTACTCTGTGAACAAAATGAGAATGAAGCGGTATGTATATTTCAAAATTGAAACCAACGAATGTCACCGTTATGGTGTCGTATGGACATATATATATATATATATATTCGTCCGATTTTAGGTAAATGGTGCACCAAACTCCCAATATTTGTACGATTCAGACAACATTTTGCACAGCGTACTGAAGTAAGTCCAGTTTGACGTATGTGACGTTTTGTTGAAATCGGTTCAGATTTAGATATAGCTCCCATATATAGTTTTTCCGATTTTAGGTAAATGGTGCTCTAACTCCCAATATTTGTCCGATTAAGACTAAATTTTGCCCAGTTTGATATCTATGATGATTTGTTGAAATCGGTACAGATTTAGATATAGCTCACATACATAATTGTTCTGGCCTAGTGACATGAACATTTTAATAGATTTCAGAATGGCACGTGTATGGTTTTTTATTGGTTTCAATATCTATGTAGATCGCAAATTATTTCGCCCGATTCCAGTTCAATGGTCTTCCATAGATGCCATGTCTCTAATATCTACGGGATATTACCAGTTGTTGTATGTATCCAAAGTGGCGAAGGGTACCATATAGACGGCTCCATCCGATTTTTTTATCCAAGTCCCTCAAATACGTTGGTTGAGGCATGATAACAATTTTATTTTGTGGTCAGAATCTTACCTACGCACTCGACCGAAAATAATGGGATTTTTATCAAACTTCGTAGGTATTATTATCAAACCTCGTACGTAGTAATGTTTGAAGAGGATGAACGATTTATTGATGTAATTTTGATATTGTGAATGGGAGGGGAGCTGTAATACTGACCAAACTTAAAGAATCGTTGCTTAATGTCGGTATTTTACACCTATTAGCAAATCGTAAAATGTGATAAATTTCTCACCTACCCACACACACACACTGAATGTATATAATATCATACCACACACTACCACATTCTTGACATTTTTTACATATGATAAATAATTTATTCTTAAAATGGAAGGGTTTACAAACTTCTATAAGAAAATTTGTCATAAATTGTAATAAATTAAATTAAAATATAAAATTCCATAAATACGATTACACATTTCTAACTCAATTCTGGTGCATAACACAAGAACGACAAGAGGCGTTTTAATTACAAATAATAAATAGTTCTTACATTACAAGATTAATGTGTCAGACAATAAATTAGTTACTGTTTACTAAATGTAAGTTTGTAATAAATAAATGTAATAAATAATAATTATAAATATTAGGCTATTTGTCATATGGTCGCGAAAAATATGCGCTGACAATTTGATGAATATGAAGTAGTAGCGGAGATGCTGACAATCAAATTTTGATGTTGAGTCTCATGTCAATTAATGCTCAATGCCTGCAACGAAAGAAAAATTAATTACCACTATTTCTTAAATGTTATCGTGTTTTTATCTCACGTTTAGATAGTGATTGCATCTCCTTTAAAGTCCTACAACAACTATTGACCTACAATCTTACAACTTCTACGCCCTGTGGTGCAAAGAATGTTTCGGCTGCGATTTTAAGCTTTTCGTTGACCAATTTGGCTATTTTAGGTGTACGGCGCCAAACAAATTCTCTGGTACGGTCATGGTTGTCTTTGCTTTCCACTTCAACCTATAAATAAATAGAAACTTATTTAATTATTTTCCATAATACTTTTTTTAACTCGCACAACTGGTTTGCAAGTGAATATTAAAGAGATTTTTATGTCATCCACATAAAGAATGGGGGTATATTATGTGCATTCCAATAATAAACCCCCTGTTATGGTCTCCCAAATAAATTTAGTTGGTCAAAATCTTGAAAAGACGCTGGGGATTTTTTTTACAGCTTCATTAGTTTTTGAATTAAAAGTTATATATTTTATTCTTATTTACATAATCTACTCACCTGTTTCGGTTGTTGCACCTTAATGGACATTAATGTGGCACGATCATTGACGACACTAAATTTAATGCGTCCGATCATTTCATTGGTGCGTGCCGTAGCACTCTTAACATTCTCAACACCACCACGTTTGAATGATTTCTCGACACGTAATATGAGTGGACCCAAAGTGAACTTTGCCTTAATGGTTGAATTGCGTCCTTCCGGATCGGTCACCACTTTCACATTGCCGACACGTTTCAATGATGCCAATCCCGATAGACTGCCTTCGGCCTTTTGGAAATCACCGCTGCCATCCTTACCACCATGTTGTGGTGACTTGTCATTTTTATTTGTGATTGTGGATTTCAGTTTTAGCTTGTTACTTGTTCCCTTGCTGCCCGATGCTGGTCCCGCTGCCGCAGCTGAATTGCCATTATGGACTTTTTTGTTCGAATTTTGTTTGTGAGCTTTTGTTGTGGCTTTCTTTTGATTTCCCGATTTGACAACGTTGTTGGCATGTACTGTGCGCGTTTCCGGTCTCAATTCTGTGCCGACGACTTTCTTTTCGCCTGATGTTGATGCGACTGCTGCTGTTGTATCACTGTTTTGCTCCTCCTGACCAGATACATTATTTTCAATTTGTTCCGTGGCTTTTAGGGTTTGTTGGTGGGCCTGCAATTGCTCCAATTGTTGTTGCAACTTGGCTTTTTCAGTCTCTTGATTGTCCTTTGGCAAATTGTCGATGCTGTCTGTATTTGCACTGCTGCTACGTGGTTCCGATTTGGTATTTTTTCTATGATTGCAAAATAAAAAAATGAAAATAATAACAACAAAAGAAATAACAGCCGACTAGAATGTAGATACAAAATCAATTGGATGTATCACTTTATGAAGTTATGCTGTGTGCTTGTCGCCTGGCCCACTAGTGGTTGCAATAGTGTGGGCTTATTGTCCTAACTTTGCGATGTTACTTTAGGCAGTACATTGCAAAAAAGTGACAGATTTTTAACTGATACTAAGAGGCATACTGTTTTTTTATTACAAAAACGATGAATGTACGACCAATATGTATGTTCTATTAACACGAAAAACTGAAGGGCAAGCCAACTGAATCTGGAATTTCGTCCGACACGAAATTTCGCATTGGGATTAGAATTTTGTGGGCCAACTTTGCACATGAGTTCTAATATATATATATAAATTACGTGTATGTTCGTGATCGCTACTGCACGGATTTCGACCAAATTGTATGTGCAGGCTCTATGGGGCGTGAGGAATGTTTCTGTGTAGTTTGAAGTTCATCCGACAGATGGCGCAATATTTAGTTTTTTTGTGTTTTTGTACCGTAACTCAAGAACTACGGCACGGATTTTTTACCAAACTTTATGTATATGCACTATGGGAGGTGAGGAATGTTTCGGTTTAATTTTAAGATCGTTTGACAGATGGCATGCTATATAGTTTCTTTGCGTTTAGCCCGATTAGAGATTGGGTTTGTAAATTTTAGAACCAAATTTTCGCTATCACCCGTTTAAATAATAAAATTTTTTATATGTACAAAATATATTTTTAAGTGGTTATTTATACTCTTTCGAGTCGAGCTTGATGATCTAAGTTTTGCAATGAAAAGGAAAGCCAGGAGAAGAACCTACGTACCCACCATTATGCGACGCGTTTCGCCGTTGGTTAAGCGGCTCATCAGGCATATTGGGCTATGTGGCTTTACAAATGTCGTACGTTGATAACTTGTATTTATTCCGCCCTGATGTGAAACATGCATATGCGAATTAAATTCAAATTTGTCAAAGTTCGACATTTGTCTTCATTCTAGGAACAGTCCTTTTCAAAGCAGATTTTTGTTGTAGCGATGGATAATTAATCCACACACCTACAATTGCTTCCTGGTATACACATGTTTTTGCGCAACCGTTTTGGAAGTGTTGATGGCTCAGAACGTTAAGCGGTCTTGGGAACATTTGTGTTGCTCTGAGGACCTGGGTTCGAGCCATAGCCGTGCTCGGCTGAAATTAATTTTTGTTATTTGAATTTTGCCTTGTATAGTTTTTTTCTAAGTGCAACGATTACTATATGTATACACTTGTATGTATTTTTGTTTTCTGTTTTTTAACTTACAACTTCTTAATTGATGTATTGGTGGCTTGTGGCTTTGCGGTCTTTGTTTTATGTGTGATTTGTTGCTCCTTGTTCCGGTTGGGAATGCCGCTTTTCGTCGATGACGCGCCACCACCATTTGGTGTATTGTGAATGGCGGCCGAACGACCAGTCAATTGCACGACAAATGGGTCATAGTTATCGGATACAATACGATTGATACGAGCGAATATGGCATCGACGAATTGATTATTACGTTCCTGGAAGGCGTCACCGGACATATCAATGATATTGTTTTTCAATTCACCTGAACATGTTGGTATCGCGTGTTCGATGTGATGTATCAAATGAAAATACAAAATGTGACCATAAAATAGAACAGAGAATTTGATTAGTCAGAAATTTGCATATTAAAAATTGTTTGATGTTGTTGTTGTTTTTTTATGAGTGATGGATATGTGTTATGGGCATGGTACAATAATACAATGTTGTAGCTAGTTTCCAATTTTATTTATATTGTTGTTGAGGAATTTTTTCATTGTTTTTTTTATTTTTTTAATATTATTTTTTAATGAATTTCAATTTATTTGAGATATAAATTGTTGAAATGTTATATATATATATATATATATATATTATTGTTATTATTATTCTTTTGAAGTCAATACAAATTTCAAAAATAGCATTAAAAACATGAATGGAGTAGTGACATATAAGAATTTATTTTCTCTTTTTCTTTTTTTTCAGATTAAAAACAAATATTTTTAATATAGAAAACAACATGGATATTTGGTATTTTTTTATATTTTCAAAACATATTTTACGGATTATTATTGTACCATGTGTAAGTGTGTATATGGTCGATAAGGATGTTGATATATATTTATATAAACAAATAAAGTATATTCATATATATATATAAATAAACCGTATATTATATATACTAATAAATAAATACGCGTGTGTGATAATAAACTCTTAATAAAATATCAATGAATACATAATTTCTTATTATATGTTTTTTTTTTTTTTTTGCATCAAATACATGATAATAAATAATAATTAATTCCATTGTTCGATGTAATATTTATAGTACAATGTAAAACTAAGCACTGTCAATGAATAACATTTAAAAAAAAACATGCATATATACTTATAATTTCAGCTTTTGTTCTCTAACCTAGGACTGTAATTGTGAATTTATTAGCAAACAAACTGAATCACGAAGTGATTGTTTCAAATTTTCATTAATCACTATATATTTAAATATAGTTCCCATATACAATTTCGACTGATTTTAAGTAAATGTTAAAAATCCAATGATGTGATAGTCCGATTATTATGCATAAACTATTTGCAAATGCGGGTACAGTTATAGAGGTCTTCAACCCAAGATGGTTGAATCTACAACCGACATATTTGACTAAAATTGGGAAAACTCCAGGAATCTCAAGAAATAATGTTAGGTCTTATTGTAGACAATACTATAAATAAATAAAAAAACAAAGGAAAGTTCAAAAGTCGGAGATACACTTTGCCACATTGTGTACATACAAGAGATGCTATATACCAGGGACGTACGCAGGGGGGGGGGGAGCCCGGGGGGCCCGGGCCCCCCCTGCACAGTAAATTTTTCACAGTAAATTTATGTTTGCAACAGCGAATTTTTTCATTTTGTACTGCCGGACGAAAATGTATACGGAAGCTATACCTAAATCTGAACACATTTCAACAAAACTTCATGGATGTCAACCTGTAGTAATTTCAACACGATATGCACAATTTTGTCTCAATCGGAAAACATTAACAGAATGTGTTCCATTTACATAAAATCCGACGAAACTATTTATGGGAGCTATATCGAAATCCGAAGCAATTCCAATTCAGTACTCGGTGCAACTGACTTCAACTGAATTTCGTTTACATCAATCTAGACCAAATTCAATACGCTGTGCTAAATGTTGTCTGAATCGAATCTAAATGAATATTGGGTGTTTGGTGCATCATTTACCAAAAATCAGACAAAACTATATATGAGAGCTATATGTAAATCTGGACGGATTCCTACAAAACTTCGCATACATCAATATGGACTTAACTCAGTACGCTGAGCAACATTTTGTGCCAATCGTCCTAAATTGGTCTATTTGATGCTCTATTTCCATAAAATTGGACTAAACTATATATGGGAGCTATGTCTAAATCTGAACCGATTCCAACAAAACCTCGCATAAAACAATCTGGAACTAATTTGTCTATTCGATGCTCTATTTACATAAAATCGGACTAAGTTATATATGGAAGCTATATATAAATGAGAACCGATTCCAATTGAATTTCGCATACATCAATCTAGACCAAATTCAATACGCTGTGCAAAATGTTGTCTCAATCCGACTAAAAGGGGGTGTTTGCTGCATCATTTACCAAAAATCGGACGAAACTGTATATGGAAGCCATATATAAACCTGAATAGGGTTCGTCCTTGCGCCAAATAAATGTGCTGTGCGACCTGTACTTTGTTTACAATTTAACGTGGACGGACATGCATAAATCGACTCATAAATTTATTCTATGCTTTTAATATATATATAATATATATGAGCTTTTAATTACAATAATAAAAAACATAAGATACCCTACACAACTACCACGGAACTCTTACTTTCTTTCGAGCCTGGGCAATCTTTCGTGAATTTTACACCTTCTTGACCGATTAGAGATCAACAACACCTCTTCCTTATACTGACATATTTTCCGAATATTCCCAATATTTATTACAGCCCTGCTATTACTTATCGAGATTCCCTTCACCGTGGGTTGTGATGTGATGTACGGCTTGTGGTCTATAGATCGACTCGAAAAAACAAAAAAATTAAGTTTTGGGTCCACTTTATCCCAAATTTTTTATGTGATCATCACTGAAAATTATAGGCGGTTGTGCTTGACTATAACTGGAACCTCATGGAAAATTTCAAAGCGATCAGCGCATTATTTCTGCTCTCCATTATTAATGGATTACTAATTAATATCTGAATACGTAAGCACCTATAAATATTTAAGTCTAACTCCCACACCCGAGTACATACGATAATATAATTGGTATTAATTTAAAGGCAAACCACTACTCTTGGATATACTGTCTACTTCTTGGGTCTACAGCCTTCCGAAATATATATATATATACGCCATAGAATACAAATTGTGTCATTTTTTACACAAAAGTCAGGATCCATTTGACCCGCTAAATAATGACTATAAAACAGGCATGTTGTGGAGAAGTAAAGATTTGTGTTACCCAACAACAACTCGAAATGAAAAATTATTGTTATATACTGCAATACCATACATCGCATCCTGATCAAGAATATAAATAATTTATGTGTACTTCGATGAATATTTCGATGTGTTGGAATCTCATTGTTTATAGACATATAGCTTGTGCTACAGACTTCATATAGCGGTACCACCAAATAATCGGTATTTTGAGGAGTTCAGAAATTTTTTTCAACCGAATATCACATTGTGTAGACAATCTTCGTACGAAACATTATCAATATTGTTTAGTATTACGGATTTCAACAATAATTACGGTCCGTTATTCACAATTTAGGCTATGTTAAAAAATTTCATATCACTTGTATATGAAAAATTTCTTCATTAGACCGTCGTATTTAAAACGATATATGGCACCTGTATTAAGGGAGTAGAGTGGAACATGTGTATAAAATTCTCAAATTACTGCAATTTAGTGTAAAAAGTTATATGAGTTTTTACTTAAAGGGAGGCCAATATTGATTACTTAGCTAGAAATTAGCGAATATTTTAGTTTTGTATCTCAACACTTTTCTTCAAGAGGTGCCTAAATGCTGGCCGATATATAGCATTCTAGAGTTATTTATCACGATATCCTTAGAAGGCGGAATGATTACAATAGATGACTAATTCGTCTTAGAATTCCAAACTTTGTAGCAAGAGATGCTCATATGTACAAAATCCTTTAGATCGAATAGACATGGCATCTTTAGAGGACCATTGAAATGGATCGGAAGTTAAATACGTGATTTTGTCTCAATCGGAGCAATATTGGGAGTTCGGTTCCCCATTTACAAAAAATCGGACGAAACTATATATGGGAGCTATATCCAAATCACCACACTGTGGTATAGGTACCCCTAAAAAAAGAGATTATTACCATATACGAATTGAAAAAAAACCGCTAAAGAACCCCAAAATACAGAAAATATGCATAAACGTGGGGTGTCGTAAACGTGGCAATTTTCGACTTTGGTACGTTCCTTAATGGCTTTTCTTTAAATATTGCAAATACATTTTTAAGTAATTCGTCCCCAAAGGTTTAGTTTTTCTGAAATTTCCATGGAATTTTGTAGAAGTTTTCAAAGCCATAAAATGTTAACCCCTGCCTGTAGATTTGCTTATTTATTTTATCTTCTACCGAATAACTAAAATATAAATTACGTCAATCTAATGGGTACTTAGTTTGTTTGCTTGTTCCAAATTCAATGATAATCGGAGCATAAATTTTCTGTTACTGTTCACAAATGCCTAACCATAAATCTGAGTAAATCTCATGTTACCAAAAAAAGAAAAAGAAAAGAATCAAATACAAGTGATGGATTATATTAATTTTTACACAACACAAAAAAAGGGAAAGACGACAATAGAACTAGTTGTTGGAAACATGAAAAATGCGAAAAGGAAAAAAGGAAACGATTGAACCATAACCTCAAACATACTTACTTACAGAAGCCCACACATGTAGCTGTAGAGTTAAATATGTGCATGTTAGTGGTACAGAGAGAAAATAGGCGTAACTTGCGGGGGGAGAACATGAAAAAAGTGTGCAAAGGAAACATTGGATAAAGCAGGTGATTAGGAAAGGCAACAACTCAGCCATTTCGAATGGCATCAATGTAGGTGATAAACGGTTAACAGCATTTAAGTGTTTAACAGAACAAAACCAACACGACAAAAAAATGAGGATATATATGTAAGAATATTGAAAGTGTTAGGAGAAGTAAGGAAAGAGAAAATGTTATTGCTACTACTTTGGGGGTGAGGGAGAACAAACAAACGCTTGAAAAATGCCTTTTAGCCAATTTTGCTACTTTTGTTTGTTGTTGTCTTCATGAAGGGCGGAAGGGCGTTTTAGTTGAATGCAATGGACAAGTTACGCCTTCTGGTCCTTTTCAAATAAAAACATATAGAGTAGTTCACCAATTTATTAAAGTTAAAATAAAACACAAATTTATTTATTTTTCTGTTTTCAAAATTATTTTCATTTAATTTTTCAAATGTTTGTTTATATATATTTGGGAGAATTTGTGCTTTGTTGTAGAGCATAAAACACTTTTAGAAGGGAGATTTTGCAAGTAAAAAAGAACAAGTTAAAACATTTTTAAATTAGAATAAATAAATATTGAAAAAAAATTATGAAATTGTAGTATTTTTTTTATTTTTCAATTTTGTGTCTTGTGTTTTGTGAGAAGGGGGAAAAGTGTGTTTTAAGTGTTTTATGGTGTTTTGTATTTTCAAAGAGACAATGTGTGGAATTATTCCGGTCAATTATAATTTAATACAAAATTTCAAATTTATTTATGTGTCGTAAGAAAGTTAGGTTATGTCAAATAAAAGTTATTTTTATTTGTGAATTGCCTCATAGGAAGCGTATTCAATTTTTGAAAAATGTTGTTTTATATTCATTTTTTTAATTTAAAAGAGATTTTTTCTAATTTCATGGGTTGATTGAATTTAGCTTCAAAGACAACTTCATTTTTTTAAAAATACTTAGCATTAGATTTTGATAATTTGCATTATTTTTTAGATATATAATCTAGTTGACACAACCTTACTTTTTTGTAAAACAAAATAAAGGCCGTTTTTTGTAGTAAACCAATATTATCTCCACCTCATTGGAAGTCAATAAAAAGGTCACGACGGAATTTTCCAATTTGGTGTTTAAAAAAAGTATTTTTCAAGCGTTGGACCGGACATAGTTTGGATCCACAAATGAGGGTTTCTAGTGTTTCAATTCTCTACCCTTTTAAATGCATACAATTATTAATATGTTTCTTTTTTTTAATTTTTACGGATAGAGAATAAAGATAGGCAGGAGGATAGACAGGCGAGACAGACAGATAGACAGAATGAAAGAAAAGACAGTTTAGTGTTGTTGTAGATTTTTTTGTGGTGTAATTGTGATCAATAAATAAATAAATAAATTACATTACAAATCAAAAATAAAATAAATAATTTAAAAATACATTTAACTAATAACTAAAGAGAAAGGAAGGAGTTGGTAGGTAATGTGCATTGTTAAGATAGTTGTGATGTTGCTACGATACATTAGATTTACATTACTTTACGTTACGTTACTATAAGCTACGTTACGTTACATTGAAATAAACTAACTAACACTGAATATCCTTAAGAAAAAATTTAGGGATATTTAATGTTCTTAGCCATTTTCATATAGTAGTTGTTGTTGTTTTTATGTAATAACATTAAATAGAAATACATTTATGTTTTTTTCTCTTCATCCTCATAGTAGGGTTTTTTTTGTACATGAACATGAAGGTGTATGAAACGAAATTGCATGACATATTATATAAAATGTTTTCTTTTTTGTTTTTCTTTTCAACAAGTTGTGCTTTTAAAAGTAAAAAAGTGCAAATAGTGGTGAAAAAAATTTGAACTACGTTTTCTTTGTGTTTGTTGTTGCATCGGTGCAAATTCGTTAAAATTAAAGATTTGTGTGTGTGTGTGTGTGAGTGCTGTTACAGACAAGAAGTGCGAAATTTGTCCTTACGCTAAGTGGGCCAAGGATGGACGCGTATGCATGTGTGCGAAAGAGGACAAGCCTGTTGTTGATTTTACACTTTTCCTCTCAAAGGAAAGAATCTTGAGAATGGACCCAATCTTTTTTTCTGTCATTTTCTTTTGCTCTTTTGCTGACAAGAAAAAAATGGACTAATTTAAGAGATAAAACAAACTGGCAAAACGGACATTGACCCAACAACTACACATAGATGGTGATAAACAGACAAATTTAGTCTGCTTATCATCAGTGTAGAAATAAAAAACAAAAAAAACACTTTGCTCTATTTCGCTTTCTTGTCATCTGTTTGTCTGCCAGTCTTTATGGTAAACAAAAAAAAAAAAAAACAGACAAACTCGCACACACATTTCGTAATGAGCATGACAATGTTAGTTAGATGTTGGAAAATGGTTAAAACACATACACACACACACGGAAAATCTTAAAAGAAAATCAAACATAAATGCTTGGAGGCTTATAGATCGTTCAGAATGGTCCTTAATTGAGGTCGCTTGTGTCATTTATGCATTGGCCTTGTTTAATTGTTGTTGTTGTTTTTTTTAATATTTTTTTTTGGGAGCGAGAAGTTAATGAGCTATGGTAAACACAATGGCCTTCATCTCTTTCTTAAGCTTTCAATGATTTTTTACTCTTCAAAGCACTTGTTGATTTTTTGCTGGTGGTATGTTTCTTAGCTGTTGTTGTTGTTTGGGACTCACATCTTCACGACGGGCCTCGATCACATCATCACCAATAATATCATCGTCATCATCATCCTCCTCCTCGTCATCGGCTTCATCATCATCACCAGTTAGGGCACCTGTAATTTCATCGACTCCATCATCAAGTTCATCTTCTTCATCATCATCATCATCATCGTCATCGGCATCCTGATCAATGTAGTTGCTTT